TAAAGATGCAAATATTTATCTGTATTCATATGTATGCATACATAGTACATTAACATATCAAAGACAGGGAGAGTAACCAGGTCTTAAATGACAATAATGTATCTGTTTTTAAGGACCATCATTTTTATCAGCCATTTAGATTTCAGGGCACATTTTCTCATTTTACTTGACACATGAGAAAATTGTTGCAAGCTAGTGAGCTGTAAGGTGAACTTGACTGTGATAATGGGACACAGCTCAGCAAAGACAGCAAGGTCAGCTGACTGGTGCTCTGTTCTCCTCTGCATACTGTATCTATTGACCTGGTTCAGGATCATCTCTTTGTTCTCCAAAGGACTATCAGATTGGCACCAGGTGATCCAAGAATGTCTTTTGTACAATCAACTAGTAAGGGCACCAACAATTGTGTATGGAATTAATGGATTGAAAGAGGATGATTAATATTTGTAATTAATCCCAGATAGCCAACTTTGCATTGAACTATCAGCCTAAATTCCTTTTCCTAGATGGGTCTCGAAATTCTTGAGCTGGAGGAAAAAGTATGTTGCATGGAAAACATCTGTTGAAATCTCCAGTCCTCCTATGCCAACTGTATTGATTAAGATAGGCTAGAAACACTACAGTAGTGACGAATAGCCCCCAAATCTTAGGATTTATGCAACAAAAGTTTATTTATAACTTACACCTTATCTGCTGTGGGTTTGGGCAGTTATCCAGAGCAGCTACCCTCACATGGCGATTTAGCATTCCATTCAATCTTCCGGAATCTTCTGGCTCTTCCTTATCAACACACACTTCCCTGATTGCCACAGCAGGGAAAGATCAAGGAGGAGCAAATAAATGCTTCCCCCACGAGGTGACATGTGTCATATTTAATTTGCAAAAGCAAGTCCCATGAGCACGCTGAACTCCAAGCAGGCAGATGTATTAGTTATCGGTTCCTGTAAAAGAAAAAGACCCCAAACTTATGCTTTTCAGCAACACGGTTTATCATTTCTCATGGTCTGTGAGTTGGCTGGGCAACTTTGCCGGTTTTGCCTGGGCTTACTTATCCAGCTGTATTTGGGCTGAAAAGTCTTAGATGTCCTCATTCACATGTGTGGCAGATGGTGCTGGCTGTTGGCTGGGGTGCCTCAGTTCTCCTGCTTGTGGCTTCTTATCCTCCAGTGGACTCAGCTGACTTCCTTACATGATAGTCTCAGGACAGACTTCCAAGAGGACAATAGCAAAAGCTGCGAGGTGTCTTGAACCCAGGCTCCAGAACTCGCACAACACTTCGGCCACATTCTGTTGGTCCAGGCCAGTCACACGGCCAACCCGGATTCAAAGTATGGGAAAACAGTCTTTTGATGGAAGGAGTTGTAGCTATTGTAGCCATGAGTTTTAATCTATCACAGCAGGGCCCATGTACAGTCGATTCTTTTTATCTGTGTAGTTATGTTTTATAAAGCCATTGCAGTTACTGAATTAGAACATACTGAGCCATTGCTCCTAGGGGAAATACGGGGTTAGGTTCCCATGAGCCTCCAGATGCAACATTCTCATCAACTGATCAATAATAACTTTGTTTTATGTGTGCATCTAATTAAAGACACCTTATTTAACATACATTGTTGACTTGTTAACATTGAACTCATGGCCGACAGCACTGTAGTTCATGCCTGAAGAAAGCCTATTTAATACACGTATTTTCTCCGTAAGGCACGTCACAGCCTCCTTGTGCTTAGGAGCACTAAACAGCACTTCAGCGTCACCTCCAGGAATCATTTAAACAGTGAAATCACCCACAGAAAGCTCAAAAATGTGACAAAATGTCACTAAATACACCCCAAACATACTTGTTTATTGTAGAAGAGCTGAAACAAGGCTTGTTTTACCTCTACTGGGAACGTGTGTGTCAGGTGACCCACATTTTTCACCTCTCTGCACACGTCCATGGATGAGTATGGAAGCAACGTGAGTATTGATTTGGGGGTTACAGATAAATTTTAGCAAGTAGGTGAATTTGCAAATACAGAACTCACATATAATGAGGATCAGCTGTACACAAAAGAGGGAAACTAGATTGGTGAACAGGGGTAATTTCTGTCACACTAGTTCATGGGGAAAAGGAAAGAAATGAACATTTATGGAGTACTTACTATGTCCTTGCCTTTGGCATTCACTATAGCATTTAATATAATACATATTACATAATATATATCATATATAATATAATATAATCTTTTTTATATGTTGCTAGATTCAGTTTGCTAGTATTTTGTGGAGGATTTTTTTCTTTTCCTGTGATGTCTTTGTCTGGTTTTGGTATCAAGATACTACTGTCCTCATAGAATGAGTTAGAAAGTTGCCTCCTCTTCTATTTTTTGAAAGAGTCTGTGCAGGAATGGTGTTAATTATTCTATAAACATTTGGTAGAATTCACCAGTGAAGCCAACTGGTTCAGGGTTTTTTGTGTGGGAAAATTTTTGGTTGCTAATTTAATCTCTTGTCATAGGTCTAGTCAGATTTTCTATTCCTTCTTGAGTCAGTTTTGATAGTTTGTGTCTTTGTGGGAATATGTCCATTTCATCTAGCTTATCTGATTTGTTGGAATACAATTGTTCATAATATCCCCTTATAATCTTTTTAGTTCTGTAACATCAGTGTAACCCCTCTGTCATCCCTGATTTTAATGCTTTGAGCTTTCTCTCTTTTTTTGTTCGTCAGTGTAGCTAAAGATTTGTCAATTTTTTGATCTTTTCAAAGGACCAACTTGTTGGTTTTTCATCTTCTCTATTTCATTTATTTTCACTCTAATCTTTATTGCTTGCTTTGGATTTAGTTTGCTCTTCTTTTTCTAATTTCTTAAGATGGAAGACTATGTTTTGATTTGAGATCTTTCTTCTTTTTTAATATAGGCATGTACAGTTATAAATTTCCTTCTATGCATGTTTTCACTGCATCCCATAAGATTTGGCAATGTTGCATTTTCATCTTCATTCATATCAAAGTCATTATTCTGATTTTCCTTGTTATTTCTTTTTTGACCCATTGATTATTTAGGTATATGTTATACAATTTCTACATATTGGTGAATTTCCCAAATTTTGTCATTGGTTTCTAATTTCATTCCATTGTGGTTGGAGAATGTACTTTGTAAGATTTTAATCCTTTTGATATTATTTAGACTTGTTTTATGGCCAAATGTATGGTCTATCCTGGAGGAAGATTTATGCACACTTTGGAAGAATGTGTATTTTGCTGTTGTTGGGTGGTGCATCTATAGTATTCTATAGGTGTCTGTTAGGTCTGGTTGGTTTACCGTGTTGTTCAAGTCTTCTGTTTCCTTACTGACCTTCTGTCTAGTTTTTATATTCATTATTGAAAATGAAGTTTCCAATTATTGTTGCTGAATTATCTGTTTCTCCTTTCAATTCTGTCATTTTGCTTCATGTATTTTGGGACTCTGTTGATAGGCGCATATATGTTTGTAATTATTTTATCTTTTTTGATGGATTGGCCCTCTTATCATTATAAAATTTCATTCTTTTTCTCTAGCGACCATTTTTCCATATATCATAATATAGTATAATTAATTAGCATAATGTTTTGTCTGATATTAGTTTAGTTAGTCTAGTTCTCTTTTGATTACTGTATACATGGTATATCTTTTTCCATTGTTTTACTTCCAACCTATTTGTGTCTTTGGATTGAAAGTGTGTCTCAAAGAGAACTATAGTTGTATCACGTTGCTTTATTTTTATTCATTCTGCCATTATCTGTCTTTTAATTGGAGTGTTTGAGTGTTAATCTTATGAGGATACTTTGTATTTGATGAGTTGTTTCTCTTTTGCTGTTTTCAAGATTCCGTCTTTGCCTTTGGCTTTTGGCAGTTTGATTTTGATATGTCTAGGTGAGTATTCTGAGTTTATAACATGTAGAGTTTGTTGAGCTTCTTGAATTGCAGACTCATGTTTTTCATCAAATTTGGGAGATGTTCAGCCAATATTTCTTCAGATATGCTTTTGCCCTTTCTCTTTTCCTTCTGGAACTCCAATTATGCATATGTTGGTACCCTTGATGATGTTCACACAAGTCTTTGAGACTCTGTTCAACCTTCTTCATTCTTTTTTGTTTCTGTTCTGGAGAGTGGATAATTTAAATTGACCTGTCTTCAAGTTTGCTAATTCTTTCTTCTGGCTGCTCACATCTTCTGCTGTGCTCTCCTAGTGGATTTTTCATTTCAACACCAGAATTTCTATTTGGTTCTTTTTAAAAATAATTTTTATCTCTTTATTAATAGTCTACTGGTGATATATAATTCTCATGCTTTCGTTTCTTTAGATATGATTCCTTTTAGTTCTTTGAACGTATTCGAAATAGCCGATTTAAAGTCTTTGTCTAAGAAGTCCAGTGTCCGGGCTTCTGCAGGGATGGTTCCTATTGATTGCTTTTTTCCTGTATACAGGCCGTACTTTCTTGTTTATTTACTTGTCGGGTGATCTTTTGTTGAAAACTAGACGTTTTCAATAACATAATGTGGCAACTCCAGAAATCAGATTCTCCACCCTCCCCAGGTTTGTTTTGCTGTTGCTGTTTGTTGCTGTTTGATTAGTGGCTCTTGCTGTGTGTGGCCACTGAAGCGTCTGCTTAGTTAGCTTAGCCAATCAGTAAACCTCCTAGTCTTTGCCAAGGACTCTGTGTGAACGTTGGAGCACGCCTTCAACACTAAGCTGGGTAGTTGACAACTGACTTAGCCTTTATTTCCTGCTTTTTCAGAGGCTCAAGGTCACCCAGAGGTGAGGGCTTAGTGCCTTCTCAGGTCTTTCCTGAATGTGCACACAGCCCTTGGAATGGGCTCAGCCCTACATATGCTTGTGGCCTTGTAGATTCACAGGACTGTGTCAGCATTTTTCAAAGACCCTATAAACATTTCATTCCACAGCTTTTCCTTTTAAACTTTTTGGTTAGCCTATTATTTGCCCCAATGGTTGTAAAGTTAAATAATTGCCTTTAATTGTTGTCAACAAATGTACCAGGGTAAAAGGCTTTTCACACTGGGTGAGCTCTAAGATAGGTCAAATAAAGATATGCTTGCCAGTGGGGTCTTTCAGGAAACCACCACACAGGTCAAATAATGACAATTCTCTGGGGATGAGGTTTTGAAGCTGCTCCCACCCTGTTTTTGCCCCCTCTAGTGGCTGGCAGGTTTCTAATTTTCACTGCAATTGGGGGCTGTTGATTTACAAGACCACCACAGAGCTGAAGAGCGGGCATGGTAAAATGCCACAAAGTTTGCTGTTCTTACTGAGATTCAGTGTTTTTTCAAGAATAAATGTCTACAGATGGAATAAATAGGCTAACCAAAAAGGCTTTTGTTAATTTCCAGAGTTTTGAAAATGTTGACTATGACAATTTTTGGTGGCTTTCTCCTTGCTTTGATGGAGGAAAGAGTTTTTGGAGGTTCTTACTCTGCCTTTTCCACTCATGTCACTCGATAGCTATCATGAACCCTACCAGATCAGCTAGGATTAGATCCCTTTACATGTGACAAAAAAACCCTGAAGTAACAGTGGCTTAAATAAGAGTTGTATTCTCTCACACTAGAAATCTAAAAGTACGTTCAAAAAGTTCAGAATGTTCAAGGACAGCAGCTTCTTTTAGCTTTGGATTCTGCCATCCCTAGAGTGTGGCCCACATCTTCATGGTCTAAGATAACAGCTAGGGCTCCAGCTATCAAATCTGCATTCCAGGAAGCAAGATGGAAGAAGAGGTGAAGAAGAGCATACACCCTTCCTTTAACAACCCTTCCCAGAAATTGCACGTGATATTTCAGAACATAGTCAAACAGCCACGCCTAGCTATGTGGGAGGTTGAAAAATATGGTCATTATTAGGAGGTCGTGTGTCCAGCTAAAAACCAAGGGTTTGTTACTAAGGAAGGACAGAAACTAGCTGTCTCTGCCACACGCATTTGACAGGTGAAGAAGCTGAGGTTTAGAGAAGTTCAGTAATTTACCCAGGGACACCCAGGCACTATGTAGGTGATAGGATTCAAATCCGGTTGTCTGACCCTCAAGCCTGTACTTTTAACCGCTTTGCCATTCAGATTCCAAGAAGTTAAATAACTTGATGAGGTCACATAGTTGGCAAGAGCAGATCTATCTGGCCACAAAGATCACCCTTTGTCTGTTATTTACCCCAAACCATCTATTTTACTCTAGTGGGCCACCTGGAAGAGTGACAAAAAACAGACTTCACTGTTCAAGCTGAAAATGCCCAGTAGAGGTCCATTAAGATAGCTAAATAAAGTGCCTCGAGGGTCCTTCAAACACAGGACAACAATGAGCACCTGAAGGACAGCAAATGAACCAAGAGCACAGATCATCAGAAACAGAGCCATTAGGAAGCAAACGCTGTGGGACTTGCTTGCTTTCTGAAGTGGAATGAAGGGGCCAGTGAGGCACAGGCTGTGAATTGCCGTTGTTCTGAAATCAGTGCTGAAAGTTGTGATCTCGAACAGAACGCTAGGTACTTTCTGTTTTGTTTTTCCCACTGATCTCCTGGACTGCCAGCCCTCTGCGACCAATCGGTAGGTATTTATTAGTCCCTTCCACTCACATCCGGCTCTGGGATGGGGTGAGGCCCAAATTAAGGCCAGGGCGTAAGGTTCCGTTGAGTCCCCCCGAAGTCTAAGGGAACAGACCCCGGTGCCTGCCTTGGTGTATTCATTTCTTCCTTTGTCAGCTAGTACTCTTCGTCACCCTGGATAATCGTAAAGCTGAGTTAATTGAGACCGGAATAAGTAAGGTCATACGGTAATTACAAATTCAGGACAGGTTTTCAATTCACCCGGAGCTCCTTTTCACGGTGCTCACAGAGGATACACTCACCCAGGGGGTATCCATGGAATTGCAGCTTGATAACCAAACGGCAGCACGACTGAAGCTGTGCTGGCTAATACAGCCCCGTTCACAGCCGCCCTAGCATGATCCTCTGTTCTCTGTGGTTTGAATCTGTCACAAAGGAAAGATTTGGCTCCAGAACTGGAGTAATTCGAGCTCTATCTAACGGCGTATGTTGGAGTCATTGAAGTTAAAAAACTTGGGCCTTGGGTCCCCATAGGGAGCTGCCGTCTCTCCCCTCCTTTTCCCGGGGAGCCCCCTCACTAGCTCACAGCCGATCCTCGTTGCTGAGAGCCCCCTCCCAGCCCTGCCCTGGCACCCCCAAATAACCTCTGCTGATACCTTCCCTTCACACACGTGCACGTGTACATGCACACACGCACGCACACAGGTGCAGGAGCAGCTCCAGCCTCTGCCTTTGTCCTCCACTTGGAACTGTTTCCGCCTTCCCCCCGGTCTTGCTTCAGCTTCACCCCTGATTCTTTCTCTCTACAGCAAGGTTAACAGATGTCTATCATGTGAACGCCAGATTTTTTTAATATTTGCAATTTAATTAAACACTTTCTTCAGCGATTGTTACAGATTCACACACAGTGGTAAGAAATAATACAGAGAGAGACCATGTGTTCTTTACCCAGTTTCCCCCAATGGTAGCATCTTGCAAAACTTTAATACAATATCACAGCCGGGATATTGACATAGGTCAATCCACCAGTCTTGTTCGGATTTCCCCTCTTACGTGTCTCATTTGTGTGTGCGTGTGTTTAGTTCTTTGCTGTTTTATAACATGTGGAGGTTTATGCATCAATCACCACCTCTGGTGTTGTCTTTGTGTAACCCCGCCCATCTCCCTCTCACTCCCTCCACCACCTCCCAGCCCTGGAAAACATTAATCTGTTCTCCATCCCCACAATTTTGTCATTTCAAAAATGCTATATAAATGAAATCATAACCTGTGTAATCTTTGGGGATTGGCTTTTTTCACTCAGCCTAATTCCCTTGAGATCCATCCAAGTTTGAGCGTGCATCAATACTTGGTTCCTTTTTATCGCTGAGGAGTATTCCGAGGTACAGATGGACCACAACTGATTTAACCGTTTACCCACTGAAGGACAGCTGGATAGTTTCCAGTTTCAGGCTGTCATGAATAAAGCTGCCATGAACATTTATCTACAGGGTTTTGTGTATACATAAAACCTAAGTTTTTATTTCTCTGGGATAAGTGCCCAAGAATGCAGTTGCTGGGTCATGTGGCAATTGCATGTTTGGTTTTATAAGAGCCTACCAAAATGTTCTCCAGAGTGGCCGCCATCACCAGCAACGTACGAGTGGTCCAGTTTCTCTGCATCCTTGCCAGTGATTGACATGATCACTAATTTTTATTTTAGCCATTCTGGTAGGTGTGTAGTGAAATCTCATTGTGGTAATTTAAAAAATTTTTTAATCTATTTTTGTATTTCAACTTTTAATGGTTACTGATTATTTGTGTAGCTTTCGTATATTTTTATTTTTCAGAACCTTTATTTACTACTGAACGACTGACTGTACGACGTGTTGGAAAAATTCGAACAGCATTTTACATAATTCTGTTTTAGTCATCAGTCCACACTTTTTTCACTATGCCAAGAATTCCATCAATGCCTGCTTTCGAGGCATGACGATGCGCAATATCGAAACATTTTCAGTAACTGTCAACTTTCGAAGTTAGCATGACGTATACTGCATGAATACTGAAGTTAATTGGCTATTCTGGCCTTCATGGGCCTATTGTAAGGGGAATTGCTTTGTGCACATACCAATTATGTTTCTATTTTCATAAAATATGTTTTCTAGTAAAAAACTAAACCATAAAAAATAAACTCCTGACTATTTCTTTTCCAGCCATTCCAGAATGATGATCGGCAAGCTGCCTCCTGGATTCCTCTACTCTGTGCAACCCAGGACCCACCCCAGCTTTCAGGCCGTCGTACTTGCACGTGGGGGAAAAGGGGGTGAGAGGGGAGACTCAGCATCTTGGCTCCTATTTGTCTGGGAGGGAAATCTGACATTTTTAGTAGACAATTAAAATGCTTACTTTGAAGAAAGTAGAGACCCGGTTGCCTGGACACAGTCAGGAATACATACCATTGAATCTGCGGGTGACCTATAGTTGCTTTGTCCCTATTTGAGTATCCAAAGTGTTAAGGGGAAAATGAGACAGCTCTAAAAAATAACTCTTGTGCTTTCTCTGCTGGTCCTCTGGGTGTGCGTGTGTATGCATCACACGCCCACACATATGCACGTAATAAATGGCTTAGTGTAAAAACCCTGCGACACACATCAATTCTGTAGATTACCAGGGAGTCCTAACTAGGGTCGCTAGCAAAGCAACTTCTATAAAGACTATAAATAGTAGGCACGTGCCTCTGTAAGCAGTGCAGCTATTTATTTTATTTAATAGGAGATTCTCTTGTTACAAGGACATCACAGATTACTGAATAATTTATTTCATAGTAGATTATATGGGCTTCACTCTTTGCCAGTGAACGCATACCCAAATGTCTACAGGAGATAAGGTGAGCAAAAGTTAGACCTCAGGCTTGGGTGAGCTATTTATTTTTTTATTTGATTTGTATTATCTGTTATAGTCATATATACAAATTTTACTTAATGTTATCTCAGCTGCAAAGGTCATATATACAATAGAGGCACCACTTTATTATCGACATTTAGCTAACTCAAAGTAATGCATACGATGACACAGCGCTGAGAAATAGAGAATAGAATAATAAATGACCTTGTTATACACGGTGATTTTAACACAGGACTGTGATAAATAGGGGCATGTTTGTTCTCTATGAAAATATAGGGAACCAAGAGAGGGCAAAATTCGATAAAGATGTTAGATTTGGAAAATGGAGTCAAGAAAAAAGATTTGAATGGGTATTTTTCTGTGACGCTCTATCATAATCTTTTCAATGATTTGGATTTGAAAAACAATCCCTTCTAAGCTTACAAAGCCTAAACAGTTTGCCTTTACTGTGTACAGGTCTCAGGTGAGCAGAAGCACCTTGGAAGACGGGCACATTTTTCTTCCAAATGTAATTTTGATAGAGATAAAATTTACTTTCAAAGAAAATTTAATTTTGACGATAGAAGGATGGCAAAATGCCTGAAGACAGCCACATAACGTAAGAGGAAATTCATGTGGCCACTAACTGTGGTAAGAGGTGCTTCATTTTATTAGTAATCAGGGACATACAAATTAAACCCATAATGAGATGTCACTACACAGCTGCCTGACCAGTTATAATTCTAGAGTTTGATGATAGCAAGTGCTGATGAGGTTGGAGAATACTGAGAGCTGCTGCTAGTGGAAGTTGAAATTGAAGCAATGATTTTGGAAAACAGTTGCCGTTATTTACTGAGGTTGAAGATTCACGCACACTGTTCACAATTAAGAAATGCCACCGTGGGAACACGCCTAGAGGTAGACGTACGTGTCTATCCCGTGGACGGGATGTATACGAGAATGTTTGTAGAAGCCGCAAGCTGGAAACAACCCAAACGTCTGCTCAACAAAGACAGGATAAGTAAGAACTAACGCCACTCGCAATAGCAGAGATGGACTTCACTAACATAGTGTTGAGCAAAAGAAACAAGACACAGATACGCAGAGTAAGGGTCCATTGATTGAAAGCTCATCAACAGGCAAAACTATATGGTTTAGGGACACATATAGAGATGGCAAAACTGTAAGGAAGAACAAGGAAATTACTCTACTAAAAATCAGGATAGTGGTTACTTTTAGAGAAAAGGAGAGATTGTGAACACAAAGAATACTGAGACTTTTGAGCACTGGAAATGTTCTATTTCTTGACCTGGCTGTGGTTTCATGGGTTTTCACTTTATAATTATTCACTAAACTGGACATTGGTGTTTAATGCACTTTTGTGTGTGTGTGTGATGTTACACACACACACGTGCATACAAAATACTTTCTAATCATACTGTTAAATACTAAAAGATCGAGATTTTAAAAAGAAACTCCCTGGTTCTTTTTAAAATATCTATAAAAAATGAACTTTAGGGGCCCGCCCTGTGGCTGAGTGGTTAAGTTTGCGCACTCCGCTTCCGCAGCCCAGGGTTTTGCTGGTTCGGATCCTGGGTGCGGACATGGCACCACTCATCAGGTCATGGTCAGGCAGCATCCCACATGCCACAACTAGAAGGTCCCACAACTAAAAAATATACAACTATGTACTGGGGGGATTTGGGAGAGAAAAAGCAGGAAAAAAAAAAAAAGAAGATTGGCAACAGCTGTTAGCTCAGGTGCCAATCTTTAAAAAAAAAAATGAACTTTAAGTATTCAGTTCAGGGGTCAGCCCCATGGCCTATTGGTTAACTTTGGCACACTCCACTTTGGCAGCCCAGGTTTGGTTCCCAGGCACCGACCTACACCACTTGTCCAGGGCCACGCTGTGGCAGCAACCCACATACAAAATAGGGGAAGATTGGCACAGATGTTAGCTTAGGGTGAATCTTTCTCAAGCAAAAAGAGGAAGATTGGCAACAGATGTTAGTTCAGGGCAAATCTTCCTCAGCCAAAAAAAAATAAAAGTATTCAGTTCAGTTGAATGAACATTTAAAATAATGAGCCAAACCTCATGCCCAGTTTCATGTCAGAATTCTATAACGTCATGGTGGAAAGACAGATGATAAGAGAGGAAAGGTTACTGGCTTCTAGACCAGAGGCCCCTTTCCAGCCAGCCCTGATCCTCCGTAGCTGTGTGTCCCTGGGCAATTCTCTGGCCTCGTTCCTCCTCTGTAAAGAGGATCGGACCTGATCAGAATTCCTCTGAGAGTGCCCTGGTATATCCTTGGGAGTTCTCTGTGGGAACTTTAAAGTTTTTTTAAGAAAAAATTCTTTTCATTTTGAGCAGAATCTAAAAAATATGAGCATCATGTGGGTCCTCCGTGGGTCCTCTTTAGAGCTTACTGTGCCAGCACTCCTCTGTGTTTATGATCACATCGGGGCCCAGATGTGCTGTTAGGATTATCTCAAGCCAGTAAGGAGAAAACACAGGTGACCTTAATGAGTGAAGTCTGCATTTGCCAAGCGACCTCATGGAAGACTCCCGACCAGAGTTTTCACAGGAGTTTGAAAAGACAATGTCGTGTGAGATTTGAGTCATGGGATAATGCCCGACCCAGAGAAATGACCCTAGTGACAAAGTGAGGAGCAATTTACTCCACAAAAATCACGTCTCATTAAATTAATATTAACTTGAGTTTTATTGGTTTTATCTCTGGGTTGTCAAAATCATGAATTTGTTTTGATTTCATAGTTGTAGAAAAGCTATAAGCCTGTGGGATGTATGCCCAGTTCCATGTGTGTACATATTTAACTAACGATCTTGTAAAAGTAATTTACATCAACACTGGAAACCCTCAAACATTTTTTTCCCCGAGAAGGCAACATACTTCATTAGAGTTTGAGGCACGCGGAACCCCATGGCTTCCACCGACCCCCCTGTGATTCTGTTTCCATTTTGGAAGTCGCACCTTTCCAAAGCAAGTGACAGGGAGGCCCCTGCTGCTGCTGGGATTCCCGCCCTTTTATTTGTAGCAGTGAACACCTGTGGGCCATTTTGCAGGGGCCGGGACATTGGCAGGACCAGGAGACGTTTCCCATGGTCACGACTGGAGGTGGGGCAGGTCAGTAGAGACCAGAGATGCTGCTAGACATCCTGCAATGCACAGGACAGCACCCCCCCCAGCCCACAGCAAAGAACTCTCCAGGCCATATTGCCAATAGTGCACAGGTTGGGGAACCCTGGTTCTGCTCTCTACAGCTTTAACTTTCCACAGGAAGAAAACCTTCTCTGCATCTGTTCCCAGTCAGCCAGGATAAGGCAGCAGTTTTCTCTTACAACCGACCTTTCCCAGCACCTGTTTCCTTCTGCACAGCAGAAACAGACAAGCAAACAAAAACGATCCCTCAGGTGTGAGGTCCGTTGCATGACTGGCTGGATTTAAGAGTGGAAGGTTGGAGAGGTCCAGGATTTTTCTGTTTTTTGAGGTGACCTTATTCCTGGTCCTTCTCCATCAGGTCCTGGTCTGCCATCTACACGTAGTGCCTTTGCTCTGCAGAGACCTGATGCCTGATGTGTGTAGCTGGTCTCTGGAGGGAACGTGCCCCGAAGTGATTCCCAGAGGAGCCGATATCTCTTCCAGAATAAACCACCAGAAACAATATTTGAACAGAAATGTTAATGCGAGCTTCAAACAGATTAGAGTGGTTTCCCACATCTGAGGAGGCTGGATCCATTGCTAAGTTGACCTACGGCCCATGTAGTTGTGTTTGTCTGTGTGCCTGTAAGAGCTGCTGGGGGGCATCTCTCCCTTGCTCTCTATCCTCATGTAATTCTCATATTTGTTCATAAAGATCCTGCTGTATGTTCCTGGGTCCCGTCTCATCTCCCCCATCAGATGTTTAACTCCCTGTGGACAGAGCCTTCCGTGTCCTTTGTTGTCGCTGGTACACGCCCAGCATGCTCAGCACCGTGGCCTGCTCTGCGGCAGTCGACACAGTCCATGAGCTATGGAAAAACACCGCGTTGAAAAATAGGCCTGGTGGGATACGGGCAACAGTTTCCTAAACATTACCTACCATCCTCTCAGCCCATCCTCGTGTTCACCTGTTATTCTAGTGACCAGAATCCCGTCACAACCAGCCTCTCGGTTCTGGAAGACTTTAAAATCTATAGCTTTCTCCAGACAAGAGAATAGCCCTCAATTTCCAGGACCAAAAAAGGAATGTGCTCCCACTCAGCGGGTCTGGGCCGGCTGCCTGAGGTGGAGATGGGGCAGGGGTTCCAAGCACTCCTCAGTCTCCACCCCGGCTAGCCTCCCTCCCGCCTCCCACTCACACAGGGTCACGGAGAAGGCTGTGCACAAGCCTTTGTCCATCCCTGACAACCACTGATACAAGGCAGCGACTGGATGCCTCACATCCTGCCTGGAACACCACCCTTTCTTCCTCCCACCCCTTTCTAAAAAATAAATAAATCCTCTGTGTAATGTGCAGTCTTTCAAAGACACAATGGGGCACCATGCCTTTAGCACAATACAGGTGCCCCTGGCATCTGGCAAATAGGGCCCTAGTTCCCTGGCCTGGACTTTAGTGTTCTGCTCAGATCCCACAGCTGAGAGGAGGCTGGAGCTGGTGGGGGGCACTAACAAGCCTGAGGGGCGCAGGCATCTCCACTTGGCACTTGCAGCCCACAGATCTCCTCTCCACATGGGCTCTTCGGCTGTCACCCATCCTCCCGCTTTGGTCTTTGGGGCGGCTATCCTTCTCCACCTGCCTGGGTCCTGCACACCTCAGGGCCTGCGTGGCTCAAGGCAGCTCGCTTCAATAGGAATGCAAACCATGGCTGAGGAAGAAAGCAAAACTGGAGGCCAGAGAAGCTGAGCGTTGGGTGTAAGGGCTGAGGCCAGACCACAAAAACGAAGGCCCATTGTGGGGTCAGGGGTTGGATGGGTGCCGAGCGCAGCAAGTAATGTTGTAGGAGACCGGTTGGTGGAAACGGTTCTGGTGAGGTCCATGAGCAATACCAGGTTGGGGCCTCTTTTATGGGATCTGGTGATGTTTTAGATGGGGTGGAGCAAAGAAGGAGATGGGCTTAACAGCATCAAGATGACTGGGCAAGACATGACAATCCTTCAGGTCCGTTTCAGGCAGATTTTAAATCTGTGATGTTCAGACTTGGTTGTGGGGAGGGAAGGAGCAGTTGTGATTTTTCCCTGACCTTACCCCAAACAACGATGACCAGGTGCCCAATCTATGACTCTGAAAGGGCAAACCAGACCCCGTCCTAAGCAAAGCCCAGACAAGCCCCCTGCTCAGTGGTGGGGAGTAGGTGAATGTGGCCCCTCCACGTGGTGTGAGCCAGAACCTAACTTTAGCCTGCGATGAGTATATGCAAAGTGGGTACAGCTGCCCCATCGCCTCCCCGGGGGCCACTTCCGTTTTACATCCTGCACCTGTGGGGATTTGCATGCCGTTCCTTCCTCCCCTCCCACCCCACACTTTCTGCACTTCTGCCCTGGTGGGTGGGTTCCATGGAGGGGAGGGACCTCATGCAGGAGGTCTTTGTTATGAGTTACAAGGAGGGTGAAGGACAGCGAGACCATCTCGCCCCTGTGAATTGGGATACCATCAGTTCGTGAGCCTACAGTCCAATTTGCAGATGATCCAGGCTCCTTATTTCCCCTTCCCCTGGCTGCTGGCCTTTTGTTCTTGTCATGGTTGATTAGCTCCCTAAATAGAGATTGGACAGAGAAAATGAAAGGAGAAAAATGGGGAAATTAGTAGCTCTGGTAAAAGGTCTGTTGGGGAAGGAAGTTAAAACCAATTAATCAACTGAGATTTCCATTATCCCATACCCTCTCTCCCCCTTCTGGTGCATAGCCAGGGATCAGAATTCAATGTCGGGTGTAGCCAGGAAATGCATTTTACACCCATTCGCCAATGAGTTCTCTGGTCTTCAGCTTGAAAGCTAGTCATCCAGGGGTCAGGATGCTCCACTGGGGCCTGTGCCACCAGGTGATACTACGCACAAGACTGGGCTGCAGGCTGAACAACCAGAAGCCCTGACTGTGAAGACAACTGGGCTACTACGAGGAGGATGTGTGACGTCTCTTTGGCACCATGGAAAGACACAGGGATGGGCGGAGGGAGTGGAGAGAGTAGAAGCGGCAAAGAAGTGTCTTCCTATGTCATGCTCTGGGGGAACGCCAAAGTCCTGAAGTCTGACCCCAAAGGATTACCACATTTTAGAGGAACATCAAGGAACAGATCTGAGCAGTGGGAAGAGACGAGATCGTGAGAGCCTCAAGTGCCCCACTGGCAAGGAGAGTGGATCTTGCTGCCAGGAATCTCAGGGCTAGAATTCTCTGTAGCCGCCTCTCTCCTTTCACCGTATTTATTCCTTTTCTTCACTGGACCATGTCCCTCAAGAAAAAAATGCAAAGATGGGCTGCCCAGTTGTAGGAAGGGTGTGTAAGGCCCCACTAAAGTCAAGTGGGCTGTGAACCTACGGGAAATATCAAAACTGGTGCAAAAGGAGGAAGCGAATCTCTTCTGAGGAAGGAGCTGCTAAATTAAGCTCTGTGGGTTGTGGCAGAATTATTGCCCCCATTTGGAAGCCAATTTCTACCCTGCCCATAATGGGTCCTCCAAACCATTGGCCCTTCAGGAGGGTCGACCAGCTCTCTCTTAAGGGGTGATCATTGATGTCATGGGCCTGAAACCACTCTACTAAGTGAAAATCACACCACCACCAGCTAAGTTCCTACCCAGAAAACGAAGTCTGTCCAATTTAATACAACGCCCATACCCATATACCTTTGATGTACAGCTGGTGACGATCTGAGAACACAGAGCTACAACTCATGTCACCCTTGTCAGTTTCAAAACCCACCTGAGTGTCATGCACTACAGGGAAAGCCCTAGCAGTGTGGGCAGCTGAGAACAGCATAGGCACCATAATTTACCAAACCACCCTCCAAATCAAGCCCAGTGTTAAAGTCAGCCCATGACTTTGAGGAATTGACATGGTCCCTTCCGATGATTCAATGATCCCACCACCACCACCTTCTTCCTGAGATCTCTAGCTCTCCAGGGAGATCCTGGAGTGGATGTGTTGTCACTACATCAGATTATCCTTCACCACATAAAGTACTGAGCAACAGGAGAACCACTGGAAATAACGGTTTCTCCGATACAACTCTGAGAAGAGACGGTGTTTTTATTTCGTATGGATCTGGGGTATGTTCAGAGAAGGAGAGGCAATGACCTTGTCATTCTTTGCTGAAACGGATTTCCCAGAGAGTCATATATCTAAGTGACAAAATCAGCTGGCACGTGTGGAGCATCTGCTCCGGAAGACGCTGTGATCCAGGTGAGTGTGCTGGAGGGCAGCAGGTTAGGGTCTCCTGGTATAGAGGACTGAGACACAGAAGCGGGTCTGTCTGTCTGTCTGTCAGGGAAAAGTGAAAGGGCGATTCAAGAACAACAACATAGAGGGGAGAAAAAACCAAGAAATGTACCTTCAAAATGACCATTTATCTTTGGAAACCATAAAAGTAAGTAGATCACACCATTTGGGTCCCAAGTGGTGTGGCTTTGTCGCCTAGCCCAAGGGGGTGGAGAAGTCCTGTGGCTATGCAAATATGGAGAAGCCGAGGAGAGGAACATTTCACATTTATGTGTCATTTTACAGCTGCTTTGACCCATGTGATTGCAGCTGATGCTCACAACAACCTCTGAAATAGACAAGAATTACCACCTCCATTTCACAGATGAAAATACGGAGTCTAAGGCGGGTTAAATGACTTCTTGAAAGCCACACTCTTTCTAAGTAGCAGAGCCTGGATTCAAACCTGGGTGTTCTAACTTTAGATTCAGGGCTCTTCCAGCTATGACAGTAGTTTTTAAACTGTGTACCCAACAGAACATCCTCGGAGAGGAAAGGGATCCTGGCATCCCCAACTCCCACTCAGATGGGAGCAGCTCCAATTTCATTTGCCTTATGTATTGGTGTTCCATTCAAGAATTTGTTTGTAAAAGAGGAGGTTTCATATAGGTTGGAACGTCACTGCACTCTGCCATTATCATTCCAAAGGAGAATTCAGCCACAGGACAAGGAGCCCCCTTGGAACATGTACAAGGAAAGGAAGGGTGGAGAGACCAGCTCCAGGCAAACTCCTTGCATGCACATGCTCTGCATTTCCTTCTCTTAGAGTGGGAAAGAAAAGAGCTGAGGCCTGTCAATTTGGGGAAGGATTTCCTGGCTGGACATCACGGGGTGCTGCCTGGTCAGCTTTGTGGACCTTCTCCAGACAAATCTAAAGCCCTCAGCAGACTCTGAGTCACAGTCCATCCAAGCTTAATCAGCTATTGCAGCCCATGCCTGGTAAGCAATGCTTCTAGGCTCCTCCACACTCAGCCTCCAGTGAAATGATGCTATCCCAAGGGTTGGCTTATGCTGGGGCATCACCCATCCACGGTGTGGGGCCACTCAGGGTGTCACCCCCACCAGCCTGAGCCCAAGACCTCCCAACAGTTTGTCCCTTTCCTCCGAGCTCTTCTTTCAAACGGCTCTGTCTGCTCTCCTACCTTTCCAGGAACCCTGCCTAACACCTGCTGGTTTCAGCTTCTCTAACAGGGGCTGTTTAGAAACAGCCTCCACTGACCCCCAGCTTCCCAGCGGGCAAATATTCTGGTTTACCAAGGGCCTCCCGGAGCTGTGTGGAGTCGGGCAAAGCATTTAATGTTGGGTTTGGACCCTTTAAACGTGAACTCTTTAGAAGCTGCCTGCTGCAGACGAAAGACTTGGCTGAGGTCTGCCTCTGCCGATCATTGTGCTTGATGGACCTAAATGCAGCCTTTTGTTCAGGCTTTACGAAGACTTGCAGCTTGTTTTGTCACTTGTTTTCGCATCTCTCTCCTTAAACTGTGTGTGATGGGAAAGAAATCAGACAGACCTGGGTTGGAATTCCAGCTTTGCACTGACGAACTGTATGGTCTTGGCCCGGCTCCTCGACCTTTCTGATCTTCCTTTTCCTCGTTTATATAAAAGAGATTATACTAATTTAACCACTGCACAGGGTTGGCATTTTGTTTTGTTTTGTTTTAAATGAAGAATAAATGAGATACGGAATCCTGTACAGTGCTTGGCACAGAGTCAGCTTTAAATAGATGCTAGTTTCTCCTTCCTCATTAAGGATAAAAACCAAGACTTATCCACATTGGTTCCCCCAAAATCTGCTATGGGGCTGGCACATCATATACTCTTGATAAATGTTTGTTGACAGTCGGAATGAATAAGGAGTGACTCAAGAGGGCAGACACGAAGCTGATAAGACAGGCCACAAAGAGTTGCCAAAACTTGTTGAGTCCCAAACAAATAACAGTATAAGAAGTTGAGAAGTGAGAAATGTGCCCTAAAGGGGCAATCAGATGCTGAAAGTGTCCAGTGTTCTTTATAATCGTGAAACCTTTGAAATAACCTAAACGTCCAACAAAGGGGACTGGGTACATTAAAGTGATTTAATACAATAAAATACTGTACACTCATTTTTAAAATGTAAATTTAGAAGCATTGTTTTATAAAAATACCCAAAACATATTTTTAGGTGAAATGGTGTGTTATAAAATTACACTCTTGTAAAATTATCTATCTCTCTTTTGAAAGAAAGAAATGCCTGGAAGAATATTAAAACAGCGGTTATATCTAGATGGTGGAGTTACAGTAATTTTTATTTTGTATATTATACTTTTCAATATTTGAATTTTTTAGGAGTATCATTCTTATAATCAGGAAAAAAATTTTCTTTTGGAAAACCTAAACATATAAAGGGTATAACAATCAGTGGGGTTTTTTTCTTTTTTGGTTGTAAATGTCAAAACCCACTTTAAACTCATTTAGATGTATTTGGAAGGCTAATATGCTTGCAGGAAGGTCGAGGTGTGGATGTAGCTCATGAAGAGCTGGACACGGATCTGCCATACTGCATCTCTGGGTGCTGATATCATTCTTTCTCCTGCGGGCCAGCTTCCTCCACATGGAGGGAAACACCATCTTGATGAGTTCAGGCTGCTATTCTCCACCACAGAGAGAAAATGAGCACTGTGCTCTATGGTCCCTAGGTCATAAATTCCCAGCATACACTGCAACTGGCCTCATTGGGAAGGCTGGAGGGCGAGGGGTGGCCAGGATTGGATTGACAGTTGTCAATATCAGAAGCAATGAGTGAGCTTTCCTGACATGTCCCTGTGCTGGTGCAAAGATTCATCTGAGTCCTCAAGGAGCTTATGGGTCAGCCAAAGGGCTGATTGCTGGTTGGATAGAGGCAGCAGCTTTTGTTGTTGTCATTACCTTACCTCTCTTCCTGGGCACCTTCCATCACTTCCATCTAAGCACGGAGAAATCTATCTTCTAAAAAATGATGGGTTTTCTTAGAGTGTCTTGCATGAAACAATCAGAGCTCAATAAGATGTTCAGAGGTTTCCATCCCTCTGTGCATTCCCTGCTTCATTTACTTACTTAGGAGATGGTAATTTAATTTCTTTCCAAAATCAAGTGACTGTGTCTAGAAAATAAACACTTTTAAATACAGTAGAACCTCATGACATCATACCTCACCATTACATTCATTTTGAAATAAGTTATGTTTTGGAACAGGGTCACTATACTGTGAGCCCCTGGTGGTCAAGAGCTATGCTTTAGTCGTCTCTGAGCCTCAGTTGCTAGTGCAGTGCTGGTCCACATAGGTACTCAGAGGCTAAGTGTACTCAGAAGTCTGTGGTGCATTCTTCACATATTTGTTTCTTCAGGTTTCTGTTAGTGTTTTTTTTTCTTCTTCCCTACCTTTTTCTGTCTATTAAGGATGCCGCACATTTCCCTAAATCTTCTTCTGATTCCTGCAGTAAATCATTTTCAGAGTCATGTTCTTCCTCTGAGTCTTGGGATGATGTTCCCTCTACCTTGTTCTACAGCATTCTCCCGCATAACTCATTTTTGACCTCTTTACTCATCCTTGACCAAGGTAAGATCTATCCTCCTTCCAACAGAGAGGCTCTTTGAGCTCCCTTGGGTTGGGCTCATTGTCCACTTGAGTATTGGCTTAGTCCTCTTCTTCAATCTACAGATGGGAGCAGGTTCATGGGTACAACTCCCAGCCCACTATAGGAGATTGTCCTGTTCTTGCAGTGGATTTAATCCAGACTGCCAGCAAACACATTGCCCTGGAATATCTGCTAGTCCTCAGCCTATTTCCTTTTGCCCCAAAACAATATAGCACAGATGCAATCATATTTCCAAGATGCATAAAAGGATTTTGGTAAGGCATCATTTACCTACAGTTACTTGTCTCATCCCTTAACAGCCACTGCATTGAAAGCACAGCCTAGCATGTTTTCTTATACTGATACTTAGTACTTATTGAGCCCTGAGCAGAACAAAAGAGCATCCTTCCTTTTCTACTTAGTATAAACAGCTATAGAGTGAAAAAATCCACCAAAAATGACGTCTGGCAACATGTATCCCCATTTCCATGGCCATGTACCATTACTATGTGTTATTTACCTTGCTTTTCAGTATGGACTTGTTTTTTAGTTGCAAGTAAAGGGATATGCATCAACAGTGGCTTAAATGATAAGCACATCTGCTTTTATTGTTTGTTTTTTTTTCTTTCTGCTTTTTCTCACCAAATCCCCCCAGTACATAGTTGTGTATTCTAGTTGTGGGTCCTTCTAGTTGTGGCACGTGGAATGCCGCCTCAGCAAGGCCTGACGAGTGGTGCCATGATCACGCCCAGGATCTGAACCAGCGAAACCCTGGGCCGCTGTAGCTGAGCGCACGAACTTAACCACTCGGCCACGGGGCCAGCCCCGACATCTGCTTTTATTAAACAAGTCCAGGTGTACGGTCTCAGGGATGGTCTGACAGCTCAACTGTGTCATCAAAGGCTCGGGCTCTTTCCCTCTTTCTCATTCTAACTTCCTAGACCTACTGCTTTTCATCTTCTTGCATATTGCTTCGTGGGCTTAATGTGGCTACCTCAGATCCAGGCATCACATCCACACTCCAGACAGGAAGAAAGGGAAGAGGGATGGCCCCAAGCCTTCCTTCAAGTCTATCCCTTTTATGGGAAAAGCAAAACATTTCCTGAAAAACTCTCGGCCAACTTTCATTTTATGTCTCTTTGGTCCCAGCTGGTAAAATTTTACTCCTAACAGGAAGGGAGGATGGGAAAATGAGTATTCTATAAAGAGAAATAGTATAACCATGACTGGGTTGAAGTTATCAATCTTAATTCATTCCCTGAATCAAGGTACATTGCTGCTACACATGACTGACATCCATTGTCATTCAAAGAAAATTAGCATTGTGTTAGCAATGACTGCTGACAGTCAAGGGCAACCTTGGCAGCATTATTTTTAGCTGTGGTAGTGGTAGCTGTAGCACTGACCAGT